AAAAAAAAAAAAAAGAAAGAAATAAAGAAAGAAAGGAAAACTGGAGACGACGAATAGAAACACGCTTCAGAAATGAATCCTTAGGAAATGCTTTCAAAGAATTGCAGTGTTAGCTTGCACTTTGCCTAACGAAATTTCCCCGAGAGGGAAAGATGCGCGCGAGGCCTTGAGGCTTTCACGTGTAGAAGAGGTAGAAGATTACGGCGCATAAGAGAGAAACGCTTTACCCAATCTAGCAACGCTCCTCCCTTTTTTTGTTCTCGTCGTCGAATATTCCGAATAATAAATATTGGACGTGTATACTCCTCTCTGTCTCAAAGGCGAACGAAAAATGCCATACTTGCGATACGGAGCTGCTGGCTCGCCTAGAATCTTCGAAGATATTCCCTCCATATCCTAGATTGACCTGTACCGCGCTTCCGCGGGACTTGACGCTTCCGGAGTTCACTTCCTTCTGCCGGTACGGCGACGAATTTCGATTCTCGTTCATACCTGCGCACACTTAAAAACCAGAATTTTCGTTGCACTGTTATAAAACGCTTTTCCTTTGAACAGAAATTAATCGAACGATAATACTAAGCCGGTCTATCATTCCTGTGGTATTCACGGATGCGAGAATCTCGATCTTTTCGAAAAGTTTTTGAACGTTTCGCGCCAAGAATCCCGTTCCCTTTCCACGGGAATGAATTTCGCAGCAAATTTTGCAATCTCGCGAGGCGTTGCGGTAGCGAACTACGTCAAAAACATTTCGAGGGGAGCGAAAAAGATGGCAACTTAACGAAGTAAGCCTGGGGAGCTTGCTAAACGAACGTCTCGAAAAGGTATATTCGTTGAATTTACGACGCGAGCTTTTGGCTTCATCGCAACGAAACAATGTTTGTCGCCGGATTCGAACGTTTCTGGTGAAATGAAGCGAAGTTCTACGTTTCAGAATTAACGCGAAACAAGGGAACGAAAGTGATTGAATACGTTCTGTGAATATATAAGCCGATAGGGAAATGTTGCAATCTGCAATAAGGCATAATCAATGCGACGTTAAATCCGTGTGAATTTCTATATATAATAAATCGGCAGCGAGTCGAACAGCGATGGATAGGACAGAGATTTTGTACGAGCAATCTGTTAATTCCGCAGGGCAATAATTTCACGGAGAAACAGAGCGCGATCGGGTTCAAAAAACACGAGCAATTTCGTGTTGAATGGTTCGACTGTTTTCATCCTCAGAGCACGGGTCGCGCGACAAAATCCAGTTAATAATTTCTGTCTGTAAGCTCGTTGTTTCCATGCCGATAAACTGTAGGTTATTATTTATACGGATCTGTCGACTGGAATCTATCGAAATAAAATCGATTATCAAGGACAACGCGCAATCTTTGACATCGATAATTCGTCATTTCGAAATAAGTCATTTTTCTTCAGTTTTCAAATACCATTCGACACATCTCCACATCTCCAAGCGTATGCTATTATAATTAATATTATCAACTCGCGACGTCACGCGTTTAACATTAAATTAAATTACCTTATCGTTTCGTATATCGCTATATCGAATTCTCGCTGTATCAAGTAACAACGTATATCCAAATCACGACGTGCCATTTTACCTTTAGTCAAACCATCTCGACGAATTCACACGGTACCAATTCGACGCTGAACGTTGTCGCAAACGTAGCTACGTACGCATTTGCAAGATTGGCTTAACCAGTTTAATGGTTCGCGGTTGCGCGAAAACTCGATCAAGTCTCGCGATTCTAATTCGATTCTATCCTGACTCCGATAATGGCTATAATGGCTCCGAGACGATCGCACGCTATTATTAGCTCATCTCGTGAGATCTCATTTTAACACGAATGATCGCCTCGAGTGTCGTTCATCCTCGGGAACGAATGCTCGACGTCAGTCGAGTCGGTTTCTGTAAGGAAAATTTGACACGAGACTCTGCTAATCAACGAGCGATCAGATTCGCTCGCCGGTAAGTTCTTGGTTTCGACGTCGGATGGAATCAACGATCTATGAAATTACTCGGCAAAACGAATGAAATTTACGGCCCCCTTGAGATGTCGCGTCGGATTAATCGGTAACGAGCGTCGAATTGCCACGAGACTGCCAGATTACCAGGGATACGTAATTCAATCACGTTCGCTGGTAGGCGCACACACGTCGACCTTACAACGCCGCTGGATTCAGGATCAGGAGCGAATTAACGTGATTAATTATTTCATCGACTGTAGCATCCGCCGCGCCGCCGGGGAACGAGTTTATATACGCGCGAAACCGGTTTTCACTTTCACGGAATGGTGAATATCGCGGGTAAAACTCGATCACCGGCCACTTGTTCTCTCGCTTTGCAAATGCATAGGCGTCGTATGGCTTTGATGCTATCCATTTTCGATTGTATTAAAAAAACGTAGCTGCCTGGGTTAAACGAAGTCACCCATCGGTTGCTTTTGCGTATCATATTGGTGCTCTATTGAACGAAAATTCGTTTCATTTCGCAAAATAGAGGCAAAAAGAAAAAGAAAGAAGAGAAACTGGTAATTTGTCATAAGTCTGTTATTTCAATTTGTGGTTGTCGCGATGCTATTTCGTGGGAATATCGTTCAGTCTTAATGAAGCAACCCTTTAATTAGTCTTTTTAGTATGTGCGAAAGCTTTCGCGATCGACCCGGCACGCCAGCTTCGAAATTACACAGAAACGATTATCCGATGGGGGAGACCTAATTATAAAGAGTATTGGTTTCCCATTCCTATCTCCGTTCCGAGATCAAGCCCCAATTCGATCAATAATTTTCAATTCGATCCTCGGTGTATCTCGGTGTTACTGATCGGATCAGCGCAATCGGCGAGTAGCCGATTCTCGCCAGGGTAAATAAACTGCTTACCTTGATCGGCGGACGCTCTTCTCGGATCCTGCGCGACCAGGCTCACCTTCGTGGCTCTTCTGTCTTGCAGGCCGCCGAGGCTGCCCCTCGGCGTTCTGTCGATCGTGTCAGGATCGATACTCCGCCGCGGACTTCTCGCCTCCTCTTCGTTGATCAAGATCGATCCTCTGGGCGTGTCGTTCACGCCGATACTGCTCCGCGAGGATCTGTTCACCTCGTACGGGACGATGGAACTCCTCGGGCTCTGGTTCATACACTCCGAGGCTATGGAACCTCGCGGGCTTCTCTGGGGACTGCGGTCGACCAGTTCCATGTTGGTGATGCTTTCGCGAGGGCTTCTCAAGGAATTGGGTATCAATGAGTGTCGAGGACTGCGAGGCGGCGGCGGATTCCCGTTCTCGGACATGAGCGACGTCCTCGAGGCGGTCAGGGGAACAAAGCTGTTCCTCGAGCTTCTGTTGTGAACGATGTCCGATATCAGGGAATTTCTGGGACTGAGAGGTGCCTCCGGGACCAACGAGTGCCGCGAGCTGTACAACATGTCCAGCGCCAGACTGGTCTCGGGCACCAAACTGTTCCGCGAGCTTCGAATCCCGTTCCGTGGTGTTCTGTAGTAATCGTCCGAGACCAAGGAGCTTCGCGGGCTTCGACTGATCTTCTGGTTGAACGCGTTCCGCGTATCGCCATATTGATCTCGCTGCGGCAGAGGCTTGTGGTTGATAGCCTGAAAGATCAAAAGGTACACCCCCGAAAGAGCGATGAAACTTCACTCGCTATACATGATAGAAAATCGTAAGTAAGACGAACGATCGCGGAGGAATCTGACCTGACGAAAGTTTGAACGTCACGGGCAAAGAATTTTCCAAAGGGATCTGTGTGATATACGATACGATATAAATAGTAGTGTTCCGAGTTTCCAATTTTTCCCAATTTTCTAACCGATTGCGTTGTAAAACGTAACGTGGAATGGACACGTTGTCCAGAAATTATTCCCGAAGAACGATGACTCGCGGACACGTATTGGCACACGTCAAGCCCGCCAGCAATAGTTTTCGTCCCATTCTGCAAGACAGGTTTCAGGCGAATTCTCGAAAAGTTTTAGAGACATTCTTCGCCCATGGGGCGTCCGAGTAATACGTTCCGCGATACTTTGAGTCTGGACATCGAAAAATGTCGATACGCCTTATTCGACGTCTACCGGTGTCAATTGGGATTTTGTATCTTCTCGCTTCGAATCTGTGCCACCAGCTCGTATCGTAGTTCAAGATGTGTAAAGTATCAGCTTGGCTAGAAAGTAACCGCGTTTCTATGGGTGTCAGGTAACTTTACGATTCCGCGTTCAAAGAAGTTCTTCACCTTCTCGACAAAACGAAAAGAAGATTCCAAATTGATATCGTCATCAGTTGGCAAATCAATTCTGATTACTGCCGTAGTTTGAAGGCTTTTACAAACACGTTTGATAATATTTTACGAGCTTGCACAGCGTGCAAGATGTTCCTCTTCGATGCTCCATATTGAAAGAAATTAAAAAATAAAGTAGCGAGAAATATATAGCAATCTCATAGTTGTTAAGAATCAATCGAAGTAAATGAATTAAAATAAACAGCTGTTGTTATT